TTGAGCATGATGATGGCAACAAATGTCCAAATGTGCTTGACAGTGGATGGATGGATGGATGGATTGTGATAAGAGCCTGTAGGACACCCCGAAAAAATGAAGGAAAAAAAGGAGAAGAAGAAAAAAGAAAAGATTAGGGGGTGTGAGTGGCACTATGGTTAAAGTGCTTGATTGCTAAATGAAAGGTCAGAGGTTTGAATCCACCGGCAGCATCAAGGGAGAAAGCTGTGAGTGTCTGCTTCTGTAAAGACTTACAGCCCTGACAAGCCACAGGGGCAGTTCTACTCTCTCCTCTTGGGTGGCTGTGAGTTGGAATTGACTCATAAACAAGGAGTTTGGATGAACGGGTGAGTGAACTGTGAGACAAGTTTAGGTCAAAATATACAAAATAATTCACATTGCACTTATATCTGTGTTTCCCCTTTCTGTTGACTTTCTTTATATCCACCTGAATTGTGTCAGGTGAATTCGATGCTTTGTTTGGTTTTGAGTAAATACTTGTTTTAATTTATTCATAACACTAGTGGTGTGCTTTTCTTGAGAGTTCTGAACTACTAATCCAAAACCTCAAACCTCTACTATAACTGTTCACTAACAGACTGTCTGGCCAGTGGTGGCAATAAATAAAGAGAAGTCAGAGTTCACTGGGGGTCTAAAAAGTCCCTGTGGTACTTTTCACCAACAGAGATGCGCATGTTCTAGAAGGAAGCAAGATAAAAACGAATTTTTTATCTTGAGCAAGAAATTGAAGAAAAGAGGTACCAGAGAAGAGGAACTGAGCGAGAAGAAGAAAGGAGAATTACAAAGGGAAAGTCTACATGCAAACAGAGCCATTCAAATCTGCTGAATTCTGTGAACCATCTCCCCACAATTCTTTCAGTTCCTGATGAGAATACACCAGAGAAACCATAGGGTCAAGGGCCACCAGAGAGGCAAAATGCACAAAGTAAGTCTCAAAATGAGAATACCTGAAGGTGAACTTGGTGCACAGAGCAGGGTTGTCATTGACGTCTTCTACAATGAAGGTTATCTGCATGCGATTCTCCTGCCCACCTTGGGGCCTATCTTTCACCAGAACTTCCAGAGCAATGGTAGGATTTTGCCTTAATTCACGTGCATCTCGGTCTAGCCTGTTGGCCACTTGGATTGTACCAGTCACTAAGAAGGCAACGGTGAAAACATGATCCTTTGGAGAGAAATGAAGAATACGGGTATCTAGAGACTTGGAGAAAACTAGAAAACATTCTACTCTGGGGACTGGCTTGCAAAGAGAACATCCTCTATAAAAAATAGAGCTTACTCAAAAGCGCATGTAAGATCCTGAATTAGACATTATTGGATATGAGAAAGACCTCCACCAGAATTATGTACCATGTGCAGTGTTGGTGGCGTAGTGGTGAGCAGCTGCTTCCAGAATTACTTACCTTAAGCCTTCATCTCGGACCTCCTCCCTGGAGGGGGCCTTGCCCAGGGTTGACCGGACTGGTGGACACCTGGCTCTAGCTTGACCCATTTATTCTCTTACTGTACACTTTGCAACGGAGTCTTGTGAGCTGGGGACTCAGTAGCTGAGTTTGGTTAATAGTGAGGATTCAGATCCAAGGCCACCAGGCTAGCTCCTGAGGTTCCTGGAGGCCTTTGCCCTGACAGTTAGACCCTTTCTTATGAGATACCCCATTGAATTTCCCAACATTGTCAATGTTTTCCCTTAGGTTGAGTTGCCTTATTCCTATTCCTTTCAACCAGAATCTTAATAAACATGCTCCAAAAAAATGTGCTTCCTAAAAAATTCGATTTTCTGATTGTAGGGTAAACAGTCTTCTTAACCAGGGTTGTCTGACCCTACGCTGTCATCTATCTGAGGTCCACCAGGATGTTTTCAGCTAATGCCCTTGCCTTTCATGCTCTGCAAACAAGCATCCTTGGCGCTAAAACCCATGTGGCAAATAACGCCTTTCTGGGATTGCCAATGATGCCATCCACCACCACCAGTTAATGTAGTGTCAGTTCCCACATGGGGTGTTTTCATGAATGTTAGAATAGAACTAAGGTCCATAGGGGTTTCAGTGGCTGGGTTTTTAGAAGTAGGTCTTTCTTCCCGTATGCAACTTGGCCTTGGACCTCCGATCTTTCGCTAACAGTCAAGTCATTTGTGCTACTCGGGAATTCCCATCCAGCATTGTTGTGCGGGCCCATTGGGTTGATTTTGAGACTAATAGTGGTCCCATGGGACTGAGTAGAACAGCCTCCTAAGGTGTATTAGGTTGTAATCTAATAATTAGATCGCCAGGTCTTTCTCTTGGGGAGCCAATGGATGGGTTCAAACCTGCAACCTTTGGGTTAGTAGTGGAGTTTGTACTACCATGGCTCCTTTCTCCACAATGCCAGCAAATGGGGCCCCAGGAAGAAGAGTTCTCTGCTGTGCAGCAGTGTGAAGCAAGGCAATGTTCTTGGTGGTCCTATGGCCAGGGTTTATGTAGGGGCTGTAGTAGTTAGGGATTGTCAACTAGACACTCCTGGTCAATCAAGTCACAGCCTGATGATGCCTCCTTGATGTCATTAGCCTTTTGGTATAAGAATGAGAGAATCTGGGAACTGGTCTCTCTCTGCCACATTGCCTTCCTGCCTGCTGCAACTCTGCCTGCCTTGAGGGATAGCCCCACGTAGGCCATCAATCCTGAGAGCTGTCACCAACCTGCCATGTTTTCACTGTCTTTGGATCCACAGGACTCTGTATCTACCAGTCTGTGAGCCTCCTGCTTTCCATTTCACCAAGAATAGAAAGCTTCATTTTTCTTCTGCTGGTGAGTTTGAACTGTCGACCCTGCAGTTAGCAGTCCAGAGTATAACCACTATGTCATGTGGCTCCCAGAGAATGTAAAACAACATAGGTGGCTTCCGACATGTTTCTCCTGCACAGTGCTGGCATATAGAGCCTCTCTGTAAGAGGCTTCAAAGTCTCTTCAGGGCAGCTGCCCTATCTGTGTTCCATGCCTGCTTGCCTCAAACGGGAAGGCTGATTGAATCAGCCAGCAACACTGGGTCTTACTCCATTTCCCCACGTCCCGTGCTAGCTGCTTTGAATGCAGCCACTGCTCTGCTAAGGAGCCCTGGTGGCACAGCAGCTGAGCATTCAGCCACGAAAAAAATGCTGGTGGATGGGATCCACCCAGCAGCTAGCTTTGAGGGGAAAAGACCAGGTCATCTGCTCCCTGTAAAGATGAAAAACTCCAGCACAGTGGGATCCAAAGGCTATAAATCTTTACAGCAGCAGAAAGCCTCATCTTCCTCCCTCAAAGAGGCCGATGGTTTCAAACTGCTGACTTTGTGGTTAGCAGTCCAATGTGTAACCTGCTACAGCATCAGAGGGGGTTAGAATCCAAACCCAACTCCATGGTGTCGACTCGGACTCAAAGCAACCCTGCAGGGCAGAGTAGAGCTGCCCCGGTGGGTTTCTGAGGCTGTAACTCTTCCCAGGAGGAGAGGGCCTCGTCTTCCTCCCTCAGGGGGCCTGGTGGTTTTGAACTACTGACTCTGTAATGAGCAGCCCTACTCGTCGGCCACTGCCAGTGGGAAACCCTATGGGCGGGGCCGCTCTATCCTGTCCCAGGGGAAACAGACCCAGCAGCTCCTAACCACAACAGCTCGACCGTGGTCGCTATGACGGGCCCAGAGCGAAATCCCTGCACCAGAAGGCAAATCACAGGTCCGTCAAGTGATCTCAGTGACTGCACTCAAATAGGCACGTGTGTGACTTACGCTGGTTGATCATGAAATAGTTGCTGACAGTCGTGAGGCTGTAGAGGAGGCGGCTGGCCACGCCTTCGTCATCGGGATCCTCGGCAGTGACATTGGCCACAATGGTCCCTGCAGGCTGCTCCTCCGGAATCGTGTATGTGCGTCTTGGGCTGCCACACAAATACAGCAAACACAGCTCATTCTCAGGGGCACCGCGGGGTGGAGTCTGGGAGGTGGGTATTTTGGTCTGGGCTAAATATAGCGCCGAGCGGTTTCAGCAGTTGCATCAACAGGCTCGGAGGGAGAGCGTGGCTGCCGAAAGCAGAAGAGATGGCCTTTCATCTTTCCAACGATCACCTCCCTCTGGACAGGTGTCAGGAGCACACACTGTGGTGGCCAGGGCTTGCATCTGCCCGGTGCCATGGAAGCCTGGCCTGGCTTCCGATCAGCCTTGGCTGAAGAGCTTTCACCACAAGGTTGGCAGGTGAATCCAACCCTCGCCTGCTCCTTGTCCCTGTGCAAAATCCCCCTAAAGTCTTAAAATAACTCTCTCCAGGTGCCTTGTCCCCTCCTGTATCCCCCAGCCCACACCCGGTGGTAGCCACAGAGGACCGGATAGACAGGAACCCGTCTTATCTTCTACTGCCTCAGATCCAGGTCTTTCATTTCTTCCTGTCCTCTATGAGGAGGCCAGAGGAGACAGCAGTGGGGCACAGAATGGTACCGCTTCCTGACTCCCTTTAATCACGAGGTTGGCTCTCTGAAGATAGTAAGCAGTAGCCCCGGCCGAAGACAAGGTCGTGACCATTGTCCTCCCAGGGTGACTCCTTACAGGACCGACCGTCCCCATCACACCAACCTACTCATCTTCTTCAGAGCCCCGCACTGCCTTTGGTAAAGCAGACAATAATAAGACAGGTAATTGGGCAAATTGAGTGATTTGGAATGCACCAAGGGGCGCTTATTGTTTAAAATAACTCTGCAGGAAATCCATTTGCGGAAGGAAAATAATTTCAGTGGGGGAACAGTTGCCTCTAATTGACCAGCTCCGGAGCTCTATTGGCTCAGCAGTGAGGGGCTTGGCTTAACTGAAAGGTTGGCAGTTAGAGCTCACCCGTGGCCCCTCAGGAGAAGAGCCCTGGAGATCTGTGCGTGTAGAGATGACAGCCTCTGGGCCAGTTGGACCCCACCCTCGCGAGTCACGGAGTCGCCATGCTGCCCACAAACGCTTGCCTGAGCTGCGCAGCATGGGGTCCCGGGAGCGGCAGAGCCAGCGTTAGCCTGTAGGGGGTGCTGCAGCCCAGATGGAGTCCAGCCCTGGGTTTTAACAAGGTCTCCAGGGCCACTTGTTGGAGACCGGTGATGATAAGGAAGTGCCAGAGGGCACAACCACGGGCTCCCACCCTCCCGGGGGAGACCCCAGAGGGAAGTTCCCACCCTCCTCGCTTCCTTCCCCCTAGCACAGTGGTTCTCAGCTGGAGGCAATCAGATTCCCCTGGGGGCCATTTGGCTCGGTAGGGAGACACTTTCAGCCCTCACAACTGAATTGGGAGGTGCTAACGACATCTAGTAGGTAGATGCTAGGGGTGTTGTGACAGCCCCCGCCTCCCCAATTCTGACAGGGGATGTTTGCTGTTGCCCATGTACACAGCAGAATACAGACCAATTCAAGGCATGGGACAGCACCCCACCCCACCCAAGATGCACCCAGTGCGAAACATCAAAGAGCCAGTACTGAGCTGGGCTCAACCGTGTGGCTGGGAGTTGGGTACACATTCAGAGAGGAAATTCAAGGCAGGCACCAACTTTTCTTTCTTGCCCTAAAAGTACCATAGTAGTAGAGTCCTAGAAGCCACCCCAGTGAGTCCACAAAACCTATTCTCAGGGCACCGACCAGAGCGTTGGCATGTGCTGACAGTGGTCACCACTTGGGGATAAAATGGTTACCAGGTCACACAGGTGATGAGTCTGTCTGGGGGAGGGGTCTACCAAGTTCAATTCGAAGCCAACGAGACAACCAGGGGATTCTAGCCGGATTTCTGGGTGCCCCCATGCCCAGCCTGAGTCAGGCCCTCTTTCTGCCAAGGTCAACTGTTATATTTTGGAAGATGCAGACTCCCCCACCAGGTGCGTTACCCATTCTGCCCCTTGGGAGAACTGTGATTTTTTTTCCCTCCATGACCCCATGACCCTGATCTCCCACCCCACAGTCTGGAGGGGGCACAGGCACTGAGGGAACCCTCTGCTCCAGTCCACAGCCATCACCACGTGCGTGCTATTGTCTGAGCCCACGTCCAGGCTGGGCATCACAACTATTTATACCCCACCTGGATGGGGCACCTAGAGGAACCCGTCAACACAAATGCTCCCCGTGCCACCCTGCTGAGTGCAGCCTCGCTGTGGGCGGTGATGAGAGGCATTCGCCGTGAGTTTTAGCTGCTGTGGCTCCCAACAGGGCTGCTGATAGCAATGGGGCTGGCGGTGGACCGTGTTAGCACGAGTGTCACAACCGTAGTATGTTTCCCCAGCAGGCTGGCAGTGGGTTGGCCTAATCCCTCCCCATCTCAGAACGCCGCTCCAAGCAGTCCACCTTGTTCATTGCTGGCTGTGCAAGTGGTGAGAGCGCTCCGCCGCTAACTGCGAGGTTGGGGGTTCAGCTCCACCCAGAAGTGCCTTGGAAGTAGGGATTCTGGGGTGAAAACACCGTGGGGAGCACTGTTCTGCTCTGACATACACGGGGTCACCATGAGCCAAAGTCAACTCCACGACGGGGGTTTGTCTCACCCTCCCTCTGGCCAGATGGCTTTCTGGAGGTGGAAGACCCTGTGCTGGATGTGTGCCTAGCCGTGAGTGCGGTAAAGCTGCAGGCAAGTGCGTGGGCCTTCTTGATTGGTCCTGGTGCCTGTCCCCATGCAGGGACCAGGACAAGCTGAGACTCTGTGAACAAGAAACAGTCCAGGCTGTTGGGAGGGTCACTGGCTTGCTCAGAATCCACCTGCCTTGCCTCAATCCACAACTGCAGCAGGCTTGAGTCTCCCTCTGTGCCTAGGGTGGTGCCCATCACACTAGATGCGCCGTCCTTCGTGCTGGACATAGGAGCTGCCATGGACAGCCGTACTGCCTTTCTCGGCTCCACCGCGGCTGGAGGAAACACCAGAGCACCCAGCCTGAGCAGGGCCCTCCACCCGGAGCCACCATGCAAACAGCTCTCCACAGGCCACGCTGGCACTCCAGGAGTGGGCCTTAGGGGGTCTTGAGGATGGTGGTGTTAGGTAGCAAGATAGGGGGTTCCTCTCCATGCCTAGGGGCCCCTACAGGAGGCTGGAAGCCGATAAAGGCTAAGGGGCATTTGCCAATTTATGTCCTTGAGCCAGGTGAACTTAATTCAACCAATCGGGCCAACCAGAACCTTCGACCACTCCTCCCAGTGGAAGGCCCCAAAAGGCTGGAACCTAGACACCACTGTCCTCTTTTCCAGATGCTTCTAGGCCTTCTGGTTGGCTGTGCTGCAGTCTCTCTCTCTCTCTCTCTCTCTCTCTGGCCTCAGGCCACCACGTGTGGGCATGCAGTGCCATGCGGTGCCTGTGTCCAGTTACTGTAACGCCTGGAACTTCTTCTGTCCTTTATAAAAACTCACTAGGATCCCAAACTAGGCTTTGGCAGGAATTCTTTGTCGTGCGAAGCCAAGGACCGAGGTATTTCCCACCCGAGAAAGCTAAGAGTGTGTGTGCTAGGACTGCTGTGACGCTCGCTGAGCACCTCCAGTTCAAAGCAGCTGACTCACGGTGACCCAGTGTGCCTTGGACAAGAACTGCCCTCCGTAGAGCCTCCTGGCTGTGACCTTGCCCAAGCAGATAGATCACCAAGCTGTTTACCCAAGGTGCCTCTGGGTGCTGACCTTCTCATTCACAGCTAGGTGCATGAGCAGTTTGTACCACCCAGGGAGTCATTATGAAGGGGCCTCCTGGCTTACATTTACTCTCCGCATGTGCACACCGCCCAGCCAGCCCAGGGCCGGTGTGGCCCGCCCATCCCCCCAGTGCACGTGAATGTGGGGAAAGGAGGTGTCCAGAGGTTTGGGGAAAGCACTCTAGTCTCTCGTCTAGGCCAGAGCAAAGGGCACCTCTCCCTGTCCTGCTCAGTCCTGGGGAGCACAGGACGCAGCCCCGGCGCCCTGCCAGCCCCCAGGCCTACCTGGTGAAGCGAGGGCGTTCATCGTTGATGTTCACAATGTTCACCTGGACTGCTGTGGAGACTTTGAGGGCATGGCTGTCTCTCACTTCCACGACGAGATAGTGACTGGGGGGAGAAGCAAGCTACGCTGACTGAGACGGTCGGTCGCAAGCAGTAAGGAAGGGGTTGTCTCCTCCCTGCCCATCCCCCTCCCTATGCTCCCGGCTGACTCACACCTGTCGTGGCCCTCTTTATGCCCCATCTCTCAGGCCCACACTTCCACGTCAGCTACCACCCAACTTACCCTGCATCTCACTAGGGCTCCCCAGGCCAGCCGTGGGATGCCACCAGCTGCCTTCCTGCCCCACAGGATCCTCAGCAAGCAGAGGTCCCACCCACGTGGGGCGTGGAGGTGCCAGTGGATGAACCGCCCTGGTTCTCACAACGGGGCAGAGCTGGGATCCAAACCTGGTTGACACCAAGGTTTCCTTTCATCCCAAACCTTGGCCATGCATTCCTCGTTTCTTTGCTGGTTTCCCCTTTCATGCTGATAGCCACTTGGCACCAGCTTTGGGGGGTTAATTTCCCACATGGGGCTGCCATGGATAGGGGTTGACTCATGGGCAACTTTGTGTTCTCCCCTCTCCTGTCACCCACCCACCCACCCACACACACACCCTTGGATCTGGTTAACCGAACAAGGCAAGAGGTCTTCTCCCTGGGGCTGACGACTCCCTCAACATAACAGGAAGGCAACAGACCTCTCTGCTGTCACCCAGACTGCCCTCTGTCGCACTGGGCCTGCTCCTTCCAGTTCCCGTCTCATTCAGAGACCCACCACACCGTACAAGGTCAGGCAACGGCTACCTGTTGTTTCCTGCTTCAAAGTCAAATTCTCTTGTGGAGAAGAGGGTACCATTAGCAGACATTCTGAAGTTCTTCGAGGGAGGAACCAGAGAATACTAAAAAGCAAGAAAGAAGACAGCTGTCAAAGAGAAAAATGAAAACCTTTGATTTTAAGGTTTTCGTTACCCATGAAACCAAATATCAACCATAACAAACTTCCTGACCCCAGTACTAATCCTGTTGTTATTGTTAGGAGCTGTGGAGTGGGTTCTGACTCACACTGGCTCTGAGTATTGGATTAGAGCTTAAATTCTGAGCACCTCCTTCTCAAAGGCCTATGGATGACAATGAACGCCCCAAATCCATTTGCAAAGTCCCCACGTGGATTAAGCCTTTACCGAATTCCTACAACCATCAACTAAGCTGTGAATGGCCTTGCCTTCTACTCACAGAGTGCACTGAAAAGTGGATTACCTTCACACCTCTCTGACCAGCTCAGCAAGGGTAGTCTACCGTAGGGGCTTGCCTGGGTGTGTCTTGGTTTTGGTATTAGGAGCCAACTAGTCTATTCCAATTCACAGGGCCCCTGTGTACAACAGAAGAAAACCCTGCCCGTCCTGTGCCATCCTCACAATTATTCCTGTGTGAGCGCTTTGTTGCAGCCCCTGTGTCAGTCCATCCGGTCAAGGGTCTTCCTCTTGTTCGTTGCCCTTCCTTTCCAGGAACTGGCTTCTCCTGACAGCATGCCCAAAGTGCATGAGCCCAAGTCTCCCCGTCCTCGAGAATAAAGAGCATTTTGACTGCACTTCTTCCCGGACAAATGTATTTGTTCGTTTGCAGTTCATGGTACTTTTAAAATTCTGCACTAGCACAACAATTCAAGGACATCAATTTTTTCGTTGGTTTCCTTGTTCAATGTCCAACTTTCACGTACATAGGAGGCTGCTGAAAATACTATGGCTTGGGGTCAAGGTGGATGTCAAGGTGGATGTCAGAAGAGACTCTGAAACTTGCTCTCAACCATAGAGTAGCGAAAGCAAAAGGGGAAATGATGAAGTCAAAGAGCTGAACAGAAAATTTCACATAGGGACTTGAGAAGACTCACGGTGACCTTGTTTCTACGGGAACGCGGCAGGAGCCCTGGTGGCACAGTGGGGGGCACGGGAGCTGCTCTACTCTGTCCTGTAGGATCATTGTAAGTAGGAATCTAGTGGATTGCAGGGAGGATTTTGTTTTTTGTTGTTGTTGTTTTGTATTATTATAACCAGTCAACTTCAAGCCATGTGCCTTTTGCTGAGTAGAAATCCTAACGGCCTCCCTGTGTTGCATATAAAATAGCTGCTCGGAATGAGCCTGCAGTTCCGTTTCTTTCATTCTCACTATTTTAACATAACGAAGTCAGCACTAAGTCTGTGTGCCTTTCCCCGGAGACAGGCTTGCTGGGTTCCCGCTGTATGTTCCCGCTCCATCAAACATGCTATTCTTTTAAAAAGTAATTGTAAGCTTATAGGTAACGAAATGTTCGCCATTCCCACATTCTCACAAGTGCAGGCCAGAGACATGAATTATGCTTCTCACGTGGCTCAGCATCCCCCTTATCCATTCCCCAATTTTTCCATCACCCTCAACAGAAGCCTGTGTCCCCTAAGCATTGAGTGCCCCCACCTTCCCCTCCTTCTGTCCCCCAAACATTTGTGATGCATCTGAATGGAGCCTCATGGGTTCAGATTTCATCGCTCTTGTATCCAGAACTTTCTGGATCTGTTTGTCTGAGCCTCTACCTCTGATTGACCAACTCTGAGGAGCTGGTCACCAGCTGCTGCTTCCATGACAGAAAGCAAATCCAAGGCCTCTGGTCTACGCAGGATGTGCTCCCAAGTCCAGTCTCCTGAGCTCTGTGGTCACTGTATTCTCACAAGTGCTCACTGAACGACTTCGGACTTTGAGTTGAAGCCTTGGTTTCAGCCAGCCTCCCGAAGGAAAAACAACACTTCGTGCTGTTGAGTCCATCGCAATGCAGGGGATCCCATGTGTGACAGAAAAGAACTACCCTCCATTAGGATTTATTTGTTTGGGGGTTGTTGGCTTTTTTTTTTTTTTTAAGTTTTTTCTTGTTCTTTTTTGGCTGTAAGCTTTAGAAAAGCAGGTCATCGATCAGTTCATCAACAAGGATCATCGATCCTTTTACCTACAGTGCTGCTAGGGGAGTTTAGATGGCAAGCTTTAGGTTAATAGCCTAACCAACACTATTTCAATGCCCACCATGCATTAGGAACAAGGACTGACAAAGCGGATTAAGATGCACTTCTGCCCTGAGAGGAGCTTACCACATAATGAGCAGCACAACTATACTCACAAAGCATGCATCAAACTGATGCTGTGGCCGGCATGCTGAAAACAAAACCTAGCAGGGCAGAGAGTCCAAATTGGAGCCTGGTTTGGGCCTACCGAAGGTCTATGTTTAAATGTTATCCCAGGTTCAATGTTACTAGTAAAGTCTCTTTGTAGTTCTAATGATTAGCACCCAGTGTAAGCTCTCCTGAGGGCCTCTGCCCATAGTCACCTGCTCCTACAGGCACCCACAGACTTATTTGTCGAGCCTGTAGTTACTCTAGGATGCCCAAGCAGGTTGCTTCCTTGCTCCCAGGATGCAGCCAAAGAGGCAGGAGTGGACCCATGTCAGAAGAGCTGGGTCAGAAGAGCTGATTCCAGTTCTGGTTTCACCCCCACCCCCACCCCCAGGGTCTTAGCCAAGTCCTTTCCTTGCCTCTAATGTAGAGCTGGGACCACCATTGTTCCTCAGTGTTGTTGTGAACTAATGGTTCTCAACCTGTGGGTCGTGACCCCTTTGGGGGTCGAATGGCCCTTTCACAGAGGTTGCCCGATTCCTAACAGTAGCAAAATTACAGTTATGAAGTAGCAAAAAAATAATGTTATGGCTGGGGGTCACCACAACGTGAGGAACTGCATGAAAGGGTTACGACATAAGGAAGGTTGAGAACCACTGTTGTGAACGTTGAATGAGAACTGTCTATAGCCACTGGTTCTAAAGGGCTTCCAGGGGAGAAGGGTCCGTTCTGTTCTTTCCCAGTAGGTAGAGGGACGACCTACCCTTTAGACCTCAGATCTCTGCATCAGATTACCAGAGGCCGCTTGCCAACAGAATCACAGCCTCTGAAACCTGAATCAAAGGACGTGAGGACTGGGTGCTGGGTCTCCCTTTCTGGTTGGCCCCAGGTACCTGAGTGCCAAGAGGAGTAAGATCTTGGCATATAGAGATGGCTGGCCCTACTCACCTTATGCACCATGACAAATGAGATGGGGGAGAGATTCTGTCTGAGAAGGGCACAGATCCCAGGGAACAGAGGAAGAGACTCTGTGACCCATTTGGGATAAAAGTCTCATTTTGGGAGCAGGAGAGTCCAGGGCTACAACTCTGGAGCCAGACCCACTAAACTTGAGTCTTGATTCCACCAATTCCCACTTGTGTGACCTTGTGGAGCAAAGATCCATAGTAATAGTTCGTTCTCCATGAGGTGATCATGTGACGTTCTCAGAACATGGCTTGGCACAGGGCAAGTCCTCAATAAATGTTACTTCCTATTGCCCTGTTAGGGTTATATGTTAGAATCCAGATCTAGGAGAGAAAGGGCTCCATTGCATTCACGTTTATATGCCTGGTGCCTGTCGCATAAACGATGCTGTGTTAGGCAGGGTTCTCAGGAGAAACAAAATCAGGACACTTATGATGATAATGATAGATAGATAGATAGATGATCGATCGATCGAT